ACACTGCAGTCGCTGACCTTCAACACACCCTGAAAGGAGTTCAGGGCAGAGATCAGGGATGAGGCACTCTGTGCTCTGGGAAAACTGGCAGAACAGACCTTCAGATAGTTAAATATTTTCAGGAGAAATATTTTATAAACCTGAATTCTCACATCGTTCCATACTTAAAAATGCACTAACCATTAACTAAGATTTCTGTTCCTTGTGACCAGCAGCAACCTTCAACCAAGATGTGTGCTTGGTTGTCCGCACCACCTTCAACAAAATCACGTATATACTGACTTCTCCCCCTAACTCTTTGGAACAGTTTCTCAGAGCTACCTGGGGGGCTCTTTCCTGGGCTGTAGTCCTCAGGGAAGACGCTGAGTAAACTTGACTCACAGCTTTCACATTGTGCATTTAGGTTGTTTTTTTTTTTTTAAGTAAACAGCACTAAACACCTATATTAGAAAAAAAGATATGTCTCAGAACAATTAGCTCAGCCAAACTAATCAGACAAGATTTCATTTAAGAACAGAAAAAGAAGAGCCAATGAAATCAAGTAAGTGGAAGAAAAGAAGGCTCCAAGGAGGTATCAATGAAATAGAAAAGAAAACAATAGAGAATAATCAGTGAAATCAAAAGATGATTCTTTAACAAGATCAATAAAATTGATAAACCCGTAGCCAGACCAGTCAGGCAATTAGGGAAAGAAAGAGGAAGACACAATTACCAACCTCTGAGATGGGAGAGGTGACTACTACAGATTCCACAGATGTTAAAAGGGAATCTTATGAACAACTTGATGTCAACAAATTCAATGACTTAGATGAAACGGACAAATTCCTTGAAAGACCAAAACACCAGCGTTCATTCAAGAAGTACTAACCTGAAGAGCCCTACCTCTATTAAAGAAATTTAACAGAAAACTTCACCCAAAGAAATCTTCAGGCCCATGTGCCTTCACTGAGGAAGTCTACCAAGTATTGAAGGAGGAAATAATATCAATTCTATGCAAACTCTTCCCAAAAAATTGAAGAGAAGGGGATGCGTCTCAACTCATTCTATGAGACCAGCATTATCCAACTACCAAAATCTGAAAAAGATATTACGAAAAAGAAAACCATACTGAGATATCACTACCCAAGAGAAAAGGAAATAGATGTTCATGCAGAAACTTGTACATGGATATTCATAGCAGCTTTCTTTGTAATAGCTAAACACTGGAAACAACCCAAATATCCATCAACAGGTAAGTGAATTGTGGTATATCCATCCAGCAGAATGCTACTCAGCAATTAAAAAGGACTGTTGATACATACATCTTCATGGGAGTCTGAAATAATTATGCTAAGTGAGAGAAGTTATTAAAAAAAAGAGTGCACCCTGTATGATTCCATAACCTAAAACCAGAAAATGTGCACGAATCTAAAGGGACAGAAAGCAGGTGAATGTTTGCTGGGGGAAGCATGGAGAGAGGTGGGAGGGAGGCATTACCAAGGGGCACTAGGAATCTGTTGGGCGTGACAAATGTGTTCACTGCTTTGATTAGGGTGGTGGTTTCAGGGATTTATCCACAAATCAGAATGTACGTACCATATTGCACACGTTAAACTTACAACACTTGTGATGTCCACTTAATTATACTTCAATTGTACTACAACGAAGAATTATTTTTTGTTGCTGTTTCGGGGGTGGTAATTAGGTTTATTTATTTATTATTTTTTAATTTTAATTTTTTTAAATGGAGGTGCTGGGGATTGAACCCGAGACTTCATGCATGCTAAGCATGTACTCTACCACTGAGCTGTACCCTCCCTCCAAGAATTATTTTTAACATAAGATATTATTTTAAAAAGTAAAATTGAAGTATATGGCTGGAAAAGGAAATTCCAGTTTCCATTGGTGATTGGCAACTCTCTAGAGGGAGAAATCTCTTCCTTTCTCTCCAGGACCTAGAGAAAAACCTCTGTGCTACATTAATATTGGCCACTGGGGTGATCAGTCAGTTGCCTGAGATTTTGGATTCTCAAGATGAAGACTGTCAGAGCAGCTGACATTTGCTGTAGATTCGTATCTTAAAGCACTTTATCTGGGCTCACATGTCCTCCCTTCTGGGACAGAACCAAAGTCCCCAAGTTCCCGAGTCCTTGGAAAACAGGCATCATTTCTACGTCTTTCCGTGAGAACATCAATCTCAACCTCCTGACAAGGCCTGAGGACGCCGAGTCCCGGGGAGATGAACGCACCCCCGAGCAGGGCTTAGTCCAGCAAGTGCTTCCAGACTCACTCCTCATCAGTCCCCTTCCAGGAGAGGGTACAGCCCGCATCCCCGCTGCCCCCCACCCAACCACTTCGCACATGAGGAAATGGGGGCCCAGGGAGGTCCTGAGCAGTCTTACTGGAGGTCTCTCCCTAATGCAGGACACATGCCAGCAGATCCACCACAATGGTCTTCGGCCCCTAATGGCCTCTGGCAGGAATCTGGGTGAATCTGCCTGGCTCACTTCTTGGCTCCTCCAGTTCCTAGCTCGGTGACCTTGGACAGGTCACGTTACCTCTCCCTGCCTCAGTTTGCTCACCTCCAAAACAGAGGTGGTAATAGCTCTGCCCTCCTACAAATGCAAAGAGAATTAAAGGGGTGTAAAGCCATCAAAACAGTGCTTAGCCCAAAGAGAGGCTATGAGTTGCTCCTTAAATAAATAAATGGCTTCAGCCCTGCATAGTCCCGAGGTTTGGGCTCTTGCCATTCCCCACCCAGAGAGCCCTGGATGGAGGCCCCAATGAGGCTGCAGTGCATGTGCCCGGAGGTCCCATGCAGCAGGGACTTTCCAAACCTTGTGTCATCCCCACTCCAGGAGGATTCAGGGAGGCTTGGTGTACCTAGTTCCCAAGAAGAGGGAACAGGCCCCAAGAGGACCACACCACCAGCGGGTCACAGAGCGGGACCAGGCCAAGTCTGTCTGCCTCCAAGCCTGGGCCTAGGAAGAGGACTGGCCTGAGCGAGGCCCACCTGCAGCCTCCTCGGTCTGGAACTTGGGCTGGAGCTGGCCAGGTGGACACCATCTGCCCACCAGGCTGGGTGAGGCACAAGCCCCCACTTCCTGGCTGTAGAGTAGCCTCGCTGGTGGCCGTAAGGGCCCCAAGAAGGGGCTATGGACACCTGCGTGGGAACAAGACCAACTGGCCTCTTTCAAGCTGTTTCTTGCTCCAGCTCTGTCAGTGCACTGCGTGCGTCCATTTGACAGGCGGGGAGATTGAGACCAGCTGCCACTGCCTGCATTCTCCCAGAGCTCGCCGGGCGATACCTAGCTCAGGTCCTCACACCATCCTGGTGGAAATCTCTCCGAGTGGTCACATTCAAGATGTGTGGGCAGATTCGGGCCAGTGGTGGGCAGGGAGCGAGGCGGCAGGAGGGACACAGACAGCTTGGCATTTCTCCAGCAAAGAGGCGCAGGATATGGGCTTATCAGCTTGCCCGACCCCAGGCCTGCTTCCTCATCCTGCCCTTCATGGCCTCTTCCACCCCGCACCCTGCTTTGCCTCCCCCCAGGAGCCTCAGCCCCCTGCCCCAGAGTGGGGGCTCAGAGGGACACTTCCGTAGCTCCCAGCCACTGGGCAGACCCATGTCTAAAACACGGAGGCCAAGGAGGGGCCAGGACCCCAGGATGCAGCAGTTGAGGGTTGGAAGGCATGGCAGAGAGTGGCCCTGTTTAACAGAGGGGAAGAAGGAGAGACCTGAGGCCCAGAGTCGGGAGGGTCTGGCTGGGTCGGGAGTGGAGCTGGGCTGAACCGGACGGTCTTCACACCCTTCCTACCACCTCCTGGTAAGTGTTCCACCAAAAGCAGTGAGATCAGCAGGACCCGACCTCCGGATGGGGGCGGGGGTGGTGGGCAGACAGCATAGGAGGGGAGCTCCTTTCCTCCCCACCTCCTGCCTGGTCCTGGGACTGACCTCACCCTTCTTGGCCATCTCCCTTCTGGCCCAAGAGGCTTGTACATCCGGCCGCCTGGGGTTGTGTGTAATCAATGCCGATTCACAGTCCCCTGTGGGCCAGAGCTGGTGGGCCCGGGGACGTGGGCCCAGGGGGCCCCGCCTTCTCCTTGCCCTCGGAGCTTTCCTCCGCAGCTGGGTCTCTCCTCATCTGGCAGGATCCTGCTGCCCGTGGACCTGCCCTCCCAGCTCTGTAGGGGAGCCTTGGGCCATGGCTTCCCCACTCCAGCCTCAGTTCCCCCTGGACATCTCTAAATTCCTTTCTTGTCTCTGCCCTGCCCAGCACCTAGTGGGGCTGAACCCCAGCTCCCCACCCAGGGCTGGGAGGTGACCACGGAGTCTGGTCTGGAGCCTGCCCTTGTGGTGCTTGTGGAGGACAGGAGAAGGCCCCCTGCTGGGAGCCAGCTGTCTCCCAGGGCCGCCCCAGTACTGCCCCACCCCAAGGTCCCCTGATGCTGGCCACGCTCACCCCCACCCCCTGCCTGCTCTCTTGGGTTCCCCCACTGGGGAGGACTGTGCATTTGGACCCCCCAGAGCCTGGAGGAAACACATAGTTCTTTGTCTCTGGCCTGATGTTATCTCCTACCCCTGTAGAGCTGCACACTGGCCAAGTACAGGAGGCCTGGGGGTGGGCAGCACTCTGCCCTGTGGAGCACAAGCCTCACTTCCTGTTGGCACAGCCTTGTCCTCAGCCCAAGGGGCCCTGGTGGGGGGTCAGCAGCTGGGGCTCAGGCACGAGCTCTGCCTCTTTCTGGGCTCCCAAACTGCTGCCTCCTGCTCCCTCCTTAAGATGCCCAAGTCCTGCCCAGACGTCAGGGCCCAGTCCCTGGAGGCCTCCTCTAACTCCCAGCCCACAGATGGACCATCCCACCTCCTTTGGTGTCTTGTGGGAATCCTGCCCTGGGAGCACCTGGCGGAGGTCAGTGTGAGCTTGGTCCCTCCCTTTCAGGCGGGCAGGGTCCCTGAGTCCCCAGCCACGGGGCTCACACTCAGTGGCTCTGAGGCCTACAATGCAGAAAGGCCGAGGCAGAGGGGGCATCACCCTTTATTGCGGGGTCTGCACAGCAGGTGCCAGGCCCCTCCTGCTGAGGGAAGGCTGAGGCTCCAGCCTGGACTGACCATCTGGCCTCCAACAAGCCCATCCTCCTCTGTGCCATGAATCCCAGGCTAAGCCTCTGCACTGGATCTGGGGTCGGGGTGGGGGGGTGCTGGGGGCCTCTATCACCCCCTCAAACATGCTCGGGAGCATTGCCAGTCAGGAAGCAGGTACCAGGGTGGGTGGCAGTTCACCTGGTGCAGCAGGCCTGAGGCTTGGGCCCTGGTCCAGCAGCTGCAGAGTCCCAGGTGGAGGCAACGGCTGTGGCCACAGCCATGTCGCCCTCAGGCTCCAGGTCTCTACCCTCGTAGATGGTGGGCAGCGAGGTGCACTGGCTCAGCCGCCGGCGCAGGCCGACCAGCAGGGGCTGGGGCAGGGAGGCCACGTCCACACTGTTGCCCAGGTCCACCCAGGCCAGCACCGGGAACTTGCTGGTGTCCTTGACAGCCTCGGTGAGCTCGCGGGTGGCGGCCCGGGTCAGCCGGTTGCCGTTGAGCAGGAACTGGGTGAGGCGGGGCAGCGTCCAGAGGCTGGGCAGCAGCCGGCGCAGCAGCTCGTCACTCAGCCCTGTGAAGCTCAGGTCCAGCACCGCGAGCCCGGCGCCCCGGCTGCCCAGGTAGCGCGTGATGTGCTGCACGTCCTGCGCTGACAGCGGGATCCCTGACAGGTTCACGGTCTCCCCCGCCAGCAGAGTCCTCTGGAGGCTGCTCTTGAGGCTGGGGGGCAGTGGCAGGTGGGGAGGTACTGAGCAAGGGCCCAGGGACTGCCTTGTGGGTCCCCACCAGCCACAGACAATGGCCTCTCAGGGCAGCCCTGGGTGGTGGCAAGGCCCACCAGGCCCTGCAGGCCGGCCAAACTGGGGTCAAACTGCCACTTGCTAAATGACTGCCCACGACTAGTGCTCGGAATCGCTCTGAGCCTCAGAGTCCCCTTTGGCTAACGGGGGACCTGGCCATGAGGATTATATGCCCATGTGTTAAGGCTCTGTGAGCTGGGACCCTAAAAACCTGTCATGCTCCTGCTCACCACACTGTCACATCTGCTGTCTCACTTATTTTCATGCCAGCCCGGTGGGATGGGAACGACGATCCTCTTCTGCAGGTGTGCAGAGGGGTACTCCAAGAGGTGACGTGATGCTTCCATGGTCACACACCTCTAAGGGGGAGCCAGGTCTCCAAATCACGGGCACTCTGACCCCTGCCCACACTTTTTTTTTTTCACTTGGCTCGTCTAAAGTCAACCCTTTGGAATAAAGATCGATGTTCCTGTGAGGGTGACGGGGTATCAAGCTTGGGGGCTAGAAAGGGAACAGGCCCAGTGAGAGGGGAGGTGTTGGGCATGTAGGTGGGGACCTGTCCTGGGGGAGAGTTCCCTGTGTTCTGAACTGGGAGGGAAGTTTAGAGGCGCTTTCCCTGGAACCCCTCGCTGGTTCTCTCCTGTCATGTGAGCAGGGCTCACTAGGCAGACAGGCCTGCCTAGGGACTGAAAGTGCTGAGAACACCTCCAGGGCCCCCGCCTGCCAAGGCAGGGAACAACCCCATGGGCTCTGGGCTCAGCAGGGGCCACCAGGTCCAAGGGGGCAAGCAGGGGAGAGAACCAGGGCTGAGGTTCTGGGCCTGGGCGCCAGTGGCTGAGTCTGGCCATGAGGCTGTGATGGAGTGACTGAGAGGGGAACCCCATGGCGGAGTAAGCCTTTGGGCTGGTTGTGGAAGCCTTAGCCTGGCAGAGTGCCCAGAGGGCTGCAGGAAACTCAGGGCAAGACACTCTGCCTCTCTCGGCCTCAGTTTCCTTCCCTGTAAAATGGGCATCACGACCCAGAATCTCCGTCCCTCACGGCCTGTCATGGGGACTCAGCTGACTCCTGCTGAGGTCCTCTTGGTCCAGGGGGCCAGGCCCTGTGGCAGGCGGAGGGCTGAGGGATGGCCCGAAGGCAGCAGGCAGGTCACATGGAGAGTAAGTAACTGGGCTTGGGGAGCTTCTGCCACCACTCCCAGTGGCCAGGAGGCGCGGCTGTGCTGCAGACGAGGGTGAGGGGCCCATGGTGGGATTTCAGGCACCAGCTCTTACTGAGAAGGGCCTGGAAAGGGACCCCCAAGGCCTGTGTGGTGGGGCTGTGGCTGAGCTCCCTTACCAGCTCTGGGTCTTCCTCTGGGGCAAGCTGGACCCTCGCTGCCGCTTGGAGTGAGGGGTGAGGTGGTAGATGAGCTACCGACAGATCTTGTCCAAGGACTTCCAGAGCTCATAGTCCTGGGGGGAGGCAGCGTTGTCAGGGGGAGGCTGAGCCCCTCCCGCCCCCCGGGCCTTGGGGACCCAAGCCTGTGCATGCGCACAGTCATTCACTCACGGATCACTGAGCTGCCCACTGGCTCTCCCCCTCCACCCCCACCCCCTACTCCGCCACGGCCTGGCTCCGAGCCAGGGGAGGCTGCCCACTGGGAGCTGGACAGGCAGGTCCGAGGCCCGCAGTGCCCGGCGGGAGGAAGCCCAGACAATGGGCCCTTGTTCCCTGTCCTCAGGCCCTGGGCCAAAGTCTCGGGCTATCAGCCGGCTCCCTGTCCATCCTCAGCGCCCCCCTGGTACACGCCACAGGGGAAGGCAGGACCAGGCCCCTCCAGGGAGCCCTGCTCCACTGACGCCACCCCCAGGGAATAGGAACAAGCCAGGTCAGCATGCTCTTCTTCCTCTCACTCTCCAAGCGAGGCCGCGCCCCTGGGGCCTGGGTCTGGGCTGCCAGGGCGGGGAGGGTTAAGGTTGTGCAGCCCCACCACCTGGTTCCCTCTTGGTCCCCATGGGCCCTCGCAGAGGCCCAGCGCGGGCAGGATACGGGGTGCTCTGCTTTCCACAAAGCTGGCACTGAGCACGCTCCACAAGCTAGCACATTCTTCTACCCAGTCCCTCTGGTAACAGCGCGCACACACAGTGGCAGCAAGCCCTAGTGGTCACCGTGATGGCTCTAGGCTAGCCTCAGAGGACCCTCGGCAGCCCGCGCAAGTGAACGTGGGAGTTCCGAGCTGGCGGGGCCCCTAGTGGGGCCCCGGAGACTTGCTGTGACGAAGGGCTGGGGGCTGGTGGCTGGCCACATGCTGTGTCAGGAGCACGGCACCTTCAGTGCTCCTTGGCAAGGCATCTGCAGGTGCCGACAAAGTTGGTGGGGGCGGGGGAGTGATGTTCTGGGCAGATGTGGTGGCACAGGGGGGGAGGCTGCAGGTGGCAGATGCCAACTCAGTGTAGGAGGGACTTGCCTGTGGCATGAGCTGCTGTGGGAAGCAGAGGGTGCTTGTCCCCAAGGGGACATGTGGACAGGGGTTCCAGGTAAGGGCAGCTCTCTTCTGGCTCTGGGAATCGGGCTGGGAGTTTGGTTTTATCAGCGGGTTTGTCAGAATGTCTAGATCCCGAAGGGTCCCCATACGATTTCCTGCCTGGGTGCCAGGGCCTGCACACAGTCCCGCTGCCACTCAGGAAACAGGTCTACCCAACACGACTTCCCAGGGCTGGGAAAGCACACTTCACATGTGTTCTGACTGCTGGCCAGTCTAATACACTGAAACTGGCATCAGGTCCTAGAGAGGGGCGGGGACCTGCCTAAGGCCAGGCAGCAGGCCAGGTGAGGACCCAGATCCTAGCTCTCAGCCCAGGGGTCTCCTGGCCCCTGTCAACCAAACAGCTCAACCTGGAGCCCAGGCCTCACCGACTTGGGGCACTGCAGGTCCCGGGCCAGGATCACAAGCAGGTCGTGGGAAATGGGGTCCACCAGATTAAGGAAGGCCACGTTCCTGTAGAGGATGTCTGTGAGAAGGGTTCCCTCGAGGCCCAGGTCCTGCAGGAGTGAGAGTCGAGTGAGCCAGGGCTCAGGCCTCCCTTCCCCAGGGCCCACCCCAGCCAGCCGCAGCCTCTCACATCCAATCCCCTCTCTCCATTTCCCTCCCAACAGGCAGTGTTGGGTCAGCTGTCCAAGGGCAGGTGGACCCTTTAGATGAGCAGAGGGTCGATGCATCAGGGGCCTCAGGGAGGTGATAAGTAGGTCCAGGAACTCTTAGACTGGTTCCCTGGAGGTGAGACATTCTGCTGAGACACCTTGCCTCCTCTGGGACTGGGCTTGTCTGGGGGATTTTTTGGGGGCTACTCTGATGAGGACCCCATTGCCCTCCAGCATCCCCTTTGGGCCCCTTGCCTCTCTGCACCTCTTCCCAAGCTCTCCTGAGCTATGACTACCATCTCTTTGCTGACAGGTCCAGGCCCTTCCTATCAGGGTGGACCCCTCTCTCAGCTCAGATGTCCCAAAGGCAGCTCAGACTGGGCGTGTCTTGTCTCTTGTCCCCAGCTCAGTAAAGGGTACGACTATCCCCATCTTCCCAGGCACCTGAGCCTGAGCCCAGGAGTCACCCCACCCTCTTCCCTCACCCCATCCCTGCCCAGCTCTCACCACCCCAACTCATTGCTCAAGAAGGTTCAGCCTCAACCCCCAACAGCCTCTTCCCAGGGCTCCCGTTTTCCTGACACTCCTCTGGGCCATCTGGCCAGCGCCAGCTCTATGAAACGTACACCTGAGCTTCACCCTTAACCCCTTCGGTGGAGACCAAGTGCTCTCAAGGTTCTTTGATGGCAGAGACACTCACAGCCTATGGTTTCAAAACTCACCACAGCCTGGCATTCATGACCCACCCGCCTGCCAGCCTCTCTGTTCAGCTTCCAAGCCTCCCACCCCTCCGACAGACCCCACCGACCGACCCCTGGCCTGCCCGCCTTCATTCCTTGGCCACCTCCTCCTGTTTCTCTCACAGGCTTGGTGTGGTGCCTTTTAGGGAATCCATTTAGAGGATATATGGACAAGCTGATGGGGCAGGCACAGCCAGGGCCTCCAGACCCCACGTGGGCCCTCCCCAAGCCAGACAGTGATGTGTTCTGTGCATAAGCCCAGGGCATGGGAAGACAGGCCGGGCCAGAAATTCGCCCAAGGGCCATAACTGCAAAGTCCCTGTAGCTTATGGGGCAGGACAGGCCCCTCAATGATCCTCGAATCCCAACCTCTGGGACATGACGGGCCACCTAGCCAGTTTCCCAGCTAAAATGCCCAGTCAGTGCCTTGAGCTCCAGACACCATGCCAGAGACCATGTCTCTAGGTGGTCTCTGGCTGTTTCATGCTGCTCTGTTGTTTGCATTTTAAACACTGTTCAAGTTGCAGGTGCTAGCTAGGGAGGATCCAGACGAAAGGAGGGGGAGCCGTGAGCCTGGCCTGACCCAGACAGGGTCCCAGACCGCAGCCTGCCTTCTATTGGTCTGGATGGCTCCTCTTAAAGGGCCAGCCCCACCTTTCCAGCCAGCTGGGCACAGAGAAAGGAAACCTAGTGCAACAGGAGGAGCAGAGCTGGGACACTGGCAGCTGGGCTCTGGCCTTGGCTGGCCCCCAGTTTGCTCTGTGGCCCTAGGCTCACTACTTTTCTCCAGGCCTCGGTTTCCCAACTGTAATCATCCACCTGCAAGCCAAAGACCACCAGCTGATTTCAGCTTACAGGGTGGGGCAGGTTGTGGTGGCAGCTGCCACAGGGTGTGGGAACGTGGGCAGAGGGGGAAGTGGTTCGCCCAGTGGTGATGTTGGGACCAAAACTCATGTCTCCTAGGGCAACTCCACTCAGGTAACTGGTGTATGTGGAACCAGAGCCCCGCCCGTCCAGATGTGCTGTTGTGATGTACAGATGCCAGGTGTGTGTATTCGCTGGGTGTGAGCTGCTGTTAGGAGGTCGGGCATAGTGTCCTGTGGCCCTTTCTGGGCTGCCATGGTACCATGGTAAGGTGGCGCCCACTGACCAGCTGGGCTGTTGCTTCCCAGGTCCTCTCTCCGGGGTCCAGTGCCGCACCTCCCTTCACCCTAGGGTGGGGCGCTGCCCTCTTCCCACTGCCCCGCAATACAAGATGACTCGCCCATCACCTGCCACTCCTTTCAGCCGTCCTCCTTTGGGGCACCCTCAAAACACACACACACTACTGGCCTCAAACCCCAGAGATGCGGACCGTCATGGGACCCCCTCCACACTCACAGTCCCCTCCTCACTAGAGCCGACTGCTCTCCCTCGCCCTCCAGCCCAGACGAGACCCCCACC